TGGCACCCAGGGTTGACAATACTGGGTTGACTGGGTTGACTGGCAGAGAATGCCACATGGCATTAAGTCCGCCCTATGTACCCTTTAGGTTAAGGTGTTACGTGTAAGTTTATAAATAAATAAATAAATAAAACATAAGCAAGAACTAACCAAAATTAGCAAAACGACATTTTTTATTATTATATTTTCTTAACTATGAAAGACTCTTTGTTTTGGTGGTTAACATGATTTATTCCTTGCATTTTGAGATTTTTATAGTTAAAATTAATAAAGATTTTCCTAATTATTTCACAATGTTTTATTCTTACATTAACTCAAAAACACATAAAAGTACATGTTTGGCATTGTATCTCAGACTTACATTGTTTTTCACTGAATGAAGTAAATATTAACACACAAAATTGAATTGTATGTCTCAGTTACAATGTCATTTTATAAAGTTTATGTCATGTAATGTCATTGTAACTCATAAAAAATAATAGAATACATATATTAATAACATATTAATGATATTATTGATAATAACATATTAATGATATTTATATGGCAGATGTGAATGGCCGAGTCGGGAAGGGACGCCCTAGGAAAAAGTTTATCGACCAAATTGGCGATATTTTGAAAATGGGCCACGTTAGAAGTACCCTTAACCGACGAGCATGTATGCGTAGATATATGGATGTAAAGGAGGCGAAAGAGGTATGTCAGGATCGTGCCAAATGGAAGTCCGTAGTCTCTGCCTACCCCTCTGGGTGACAGGCGTGAGTGTTTATGTTATGTATGTTTTATTAATGATATGAAAGTGTAGATTTTCCTTTACTAACTTAAATTTTCACGGTGAGATGGCGCTAGGACTTAACAGAACTATATAATATTTTTTTTAATCTTTGATGCGCTCTCCTGTAAAGTTGATAAAAATCAGTTACGATCTTTTTCCTTGCATGTGTCGTATTTATTTATTAATACACTAAGTACTAAGATAAGCTATCTAGTTAACATTTTATGTGCAATTAAGGAAAAGAGAAAAAAAAAACTATGTTAAAAATATGATTATTATAACACAAATTCAATTAAGATTCAACTAGCGAATTGAGTTCTGCAACATTTTCAGTGATGGGTAACTAAATTATTCACAATCCAAACTTTGAAAGAGAGCGGATTTAAGCTTTGAGCTTTATTATTGTAAGTGTTAGTGGAACGATACACAAACGAGTTACGTGTATAATTTTTATGATATCGTGGAGTTACGAAAAGTGGTTTTACCAGTATACGAAATGTTACAGCCTATATATGTCCCACTGCTGGGTACAGGCCTCCCCTCATTTCTGAGAGTGTTTTAGGGCAAGGAATTGTCCGTCGCGCTGCCCCAATGCGTGTTGACGAACTTCACATGTCTTCAAAATATTTTTTTCTTATTTCTCAGACATGCAGGTTTCCTCACGATGTTTTCCTTCCCTGCCAAGCACGTGGTAAATCAGCACTTGAAGTTGCAATTAACAATTTCATTGGTTCCGGCGGGATTCGAACCCGGTTTGCTCACGTACTATGCTAACATGGCTCATAAAAAATATACTATTACTATTTAAAAATATACAATAAAATTACCATTTAATAAAAAAATTGAATCGGTTCACAATAGACATAGATATCGCGTAACATACTATTAAAAAAACATACAGTCGTATTGTAAACCTTCTTGTGAAAAAGCCGCAAATATCAATGAAACCGCAACAAAATACGGTAACACAGCCAATTTATGTCGGTCATCGAAGATTTATTCGTGGAAATCGGCGTCGTGTTTTAACCGTGAAAAATATCGGAAGCAAGCAAGAAAAATAGCGGCACGATAACGAAATACCCGGGGTCGGGTGCTCAGGTGATGAATGAGTACCTGGGAGAATCTACATCTCATTAAGTAGATCCTTTTTTACCGAAAACGAGGCATTTCATCTTATTTTACACGTGGTAAAGCCACGTAGCAGCTATACCTCGAATGTTCATTCGAACGGGGAAGGACCACGACCTTACAGAATACCAGCGTACCAATTTAATGCTGCTGAATTTCGTATGCTTGAGTGTAGAGAATCAAAGACTCCATTTACTGAAATTAAGGCATTCCATCTTAGTCTTAAGATGTGATAACTCATATGCATTTTGATTTTTAATTGAGGATAAATGTAGATATTTATGGGCCATAGAATTCACTTACCATTAGGTGAACTTTGTGCTCGTTTGTTTTCCTTATTCTATAAAAAATAGGAGATTAACGACTACCCAGAGCAGGGTGTTTAAATGACGAATGAGTAAATGGGAGAATCTACATCTCATTAAGTGCTACGATATTAAGATATTAATTGAAGATATGAATTTAAAATAGGTAGTTTAATGTGTTACGAGCACGTTACTACTTATTTATAGAATAAGGGTGACAAACGAGCACACAGTCTGCTGATGGTAAGTGGATGCTGAGGCCCATTGACATCTATATTTATCTTCGATCAAGAATCAAAACGCAGATGTGTGGTCACCCCTGAGGACTAAGATAAAATGCCTCGTTTCCAGTAAAAAAGGGTCTCCGAATGTCTACACTCACCATATGAAACACAGCAGTATTAAGCTGCTATTTTATGCTAATATTCTGTGTGAGCGTGGTCCCTCCCCGGTCGAGCCGAGCCATTCGTGCTGCAACCATAATATAGCTGCAGCGTTGCCCCACCACGTATAAAACTAAACTACTGAACATAGTATCTCACAACTAAGAAATTCTAAAAAATTCAATCAACTTTACAACTAAATTTCATTACTTGTTACGCATCTTCACAAGTTGTATGGTGAGTGTGGAGAACCGGTGACACTTTATACTGGTAACGAGACGTTTAATCTTAGTCCTCAGATTCTTAATCGATGATAAATGTCTATAGGCCATAGCATTCACTTACCATCAGGTGAACTGTGTGCTCCTTTGTCTCTCAGAAACCTCTGCTACTGCAATCATCAAATCACCTGATAAGTGTGATGATTAAGGCAATTCCTTTAAATTCCGGTAAGGCCTTCTGCAATGGGAGAGGCGTATCAGTAGTGGAGTTTCGACTTAGAAGAAGTACGAGTATATATTATATAATTGAAGTTTTTCTACTGACCACTACTGAACCTAGACCTAACACATTAATTGCCTTGATTGCCTATTTTGCCATAGTTGCAATGCTTGGCGGGCAGGTTGGCAACCGCAGTATTTTATTAGTTTGAGTTGTTATCAGGAAGATGCTGGTGACCATCACCAGTTTCAGTTCCCTCTGCAGCCTCTTACGATATCCACGGGGCGATATAAGGTAGTAGATATCGTTACGCCGCCTCTACACGCTACTATGTAATGTATGTTTTAAAAAAAGTCCCATTGGGATTCTTGCTGGTTCTTCCAGGACAGAGGTTTTTTTCCCCAACCACTGATAAAAGTACAAAATTGATTTAAAATATCAATTTAATTCTTATTTATATTGAATAAAACACATTCTATTCTAATATATCTATCATAAATAATCTTTATATTCCACTAATGAAATTCGGAAATTTCCTATAACAATACTTGGTAATCTCGCAGGTGTAAACGAGTTGCACAGATTAAATAAATCACAACGGAACAGTAAATTTCCAAGGGAAATAACCAAAGTCCGGCAGACTGCCACGGAATTGGTAATATACGTACAGTAATACCTTCAGGTACTCGAATAAAGCTCGAGCTATTACAGGTCACAGAATAATCAAATAGTAGACCTGAAGCTAGGTTTCTACCTAATAAAACTTTTTATTGAATTAGGAAAATTATTGGTCACATTTCTCTTTCTTGATATTGAATATGTTACAACACTCAGAGCAGTTTTTTTTTGAGATTTTAGTTGTATTATTTGATAAGTTAAATAGGATGGCGCACGATAAGACGTACTCTGCCTTAGTTAAAAAGGCACATCTACATATTTTCTGAAAGGCACTTCTTGATGCAAAATGCACTTTTATCAATGGTTTTAGGTATACCGTTGATAAAAGTGCATTTTGTGACATTTTTAATAATCAAAATTGTTAAAAAGCCTAAATATTCAAGTATTTTACAATTAAACGTGTAAAATATTTATCTATTATAAAGGCTCCGAATTTATAAGTTGATTTTTTAAAGTAGATATTTTTTTCGAATGACGTCATTTATATATTGATAGGTGAGCCTAAATAACACGAATGTAGTCAAAAATTTTCATCACACATACATTACGTACATTGAAACAAGTGTTCAGAACGAAATCATAAATTTAATGCACCTGCTTCTTTGGTTGGAATAAACAGGCAGGTTTTGATAGGCGTTAGGTGTTATTTTGCGTAGATTGACTATAAGCACGTTCCGTTGCTCTAATACGCGATTACTATAGGGTAGACCGAGGCGAATCGGATCACAGGGCGAATCGGATCAAAATAAGAAATCTGTTGATAATTCAAATATCGCTTTCACATAGAACGCACTCAACCGGCGTTTTGCGTATCTCCTCTCACCCCGCACCTCCCGACATAGGCAGTATTTCGATCGCACTTGTGAATCAGTGGCGACGCCGCTAGTCAGCGACTCGGTCGTTTGTGTGTGTCGCAATTTTGGCGCTCATCTAAGGTACGTACTTACGATTTCTTTGTGTCATATTGCGGATTTGTGTTATAACTCAACTATATTGGTTTATATTGTTAAGCAAGGTGTCTATATTAGAGAACCAATTCGCTTTTAAGTATGATCTTAGAGGTTAACGTCTAAAATATTTATTTCAAAAGTCTTGATTATGGGGCTAATCGGATCATATCGTCAGGGGCGAATCGGATCACACTTTTAAACTGATTTATGACATGTTTGAAGTTATTGATTTATATTTATTTCATTGTAGATGGTTCGCACGTACAGAAGAAAGACTGATGCCGGAGAATGGTCTCAAGAAAAAATGAAATAGGCTATAAATAAAGTCCAGAACAAAGAGTTGACCTTACGTAAGGCTGCTGAGATTTTTGCAGTACCGTTCACGAGCTTACAGAGAAGAGTTACTTTATCCAGGGGTATTATTAAGCGTCGAGGTGGACAGCTAGCTTTAGATGAGAACGCAGAAAAGAAGTTAGCTGACCGGCTATTGCACTTGGCAAGTCGTGGCTTCGGAATTACACCCAAAGCGGTACGTAAGTACGCGTTTGAATTTGCAGAACGTCAAAACATAAAACACAAATTTGACAGAAATGCTGGAATGGCAGGCCAGGACTGGTTTCATCGCTTCATGCAAAGAAATAAAAAATTAACTATTCGGAAGCCGGAGGGTCTGTCAAGAGCAAGGTGTGATGGTATGAAGAAGGAAAAAGTAGCAGAATTCTTTAATACTTTGGAAACAGTAGTAGATAACAACAATTTAAGAGGAAAACCTGAATGTGTATACAATGTTGATGAAACGGGTATGCCGCTTAGTAACCGCCCACCCAACATTATAGCCCAAAAAGGTGCTAAAGATGTTGTCAGCATGACTAGTGTTGAACGAGGTGAAAATGTAACCGTTCTAGCCTGTATGAATGCAGCAGGACAGTACATACCTCCATTTGTTCTATTCAAAGGTGTGCGTAAACGTGACGATTTTCTCCTAGGTATGCCACCTGGTACTGAAGTTGCCATGACAGAAAACGGCTGGGTCACCGAAGAAGCTTTTAAGTTGTGGCTGCAACATTTCAATCGCTACCGGACCCCAGGAAAAGTAGTTCTAATTTTGGATGGGCATGCGTCTCACACCAGCTACTCAGTGGTAGACTTGTGTGACTCTTTCGAAATTGAACTTGTACTTCTTCCTCCACACACATCACATGCCCTGCAACCGCTCGATGTATCGTTTTTCAAACCGCTCAAAACCTATTATCACCAACAAGCTACAGCATGGCAACATTCACATCCCAATCAAGGAATCACAAAAGTCGCTTTCGGAGCACTTTTCCAACGGGCTTGGAATCAGGCTGCCACTGTTGGGAATGCTACAAAAGGCTTCGAAAGACTGAAATATTTCCACTAAACGCCAATGCAATACCTGACCACAAGTTCATCGGTGATCAAGAGTCGGACATTGTAGAGTCCCAAGTCCAGTCCCCAAGTTCCCAAAAAATGCAGCTACACGTGCAAGCCACAAATACAAAACCACTTGATAATATAGTGCCATCCACAAGTTCACAACAATCTGACGAAGCCCAGCCTCCCACCTGTGCAGAAATAATTAAAGAAATTCTTCCATCACCTTTAAAGTCACCAATTGCTTCTAAAAGAATTCGTAAAGTTTCAAAACTGGCCTTGCATTTAACATCACCTCAGAATAAGACTACTCTTCTCGAAAAAGAAGCAAAGAAGAAATTTAAGGTAGACAATAAAACCAAGGAAAATAAGGAAAAGGCTGTGGGCAAAGAAAATACTATGAAGAAAATGAAGAATAAAGCAAAGCTTGCGATAAAAATTAAGAGTTCATCTCCAAAACATAGAGAGTGGCACTGCATTTACTGTTCCAAAATATTCGTTCATCCACCATCAGAGGATTGGATTCAGTGCAATGCCTGCGAAGAATGGTGCCACGAAAAATGTGCTGATATGGGGGAGGAAAAAGGACCATATATATGTGAATTATGTGCCGATAATTAAAATTGATCTCATTATTAATTTTTTACTGATTCCAAAGCTATAGTCATAAAAAACTTAAAATTTTGTTACCTACATGTGTACGATCCGATTCACCCCGAAAATTGGGGCGATTCGGATATTTTTCTTTTTTTAGTTTTTAATAGCTAATTAAGAGAATATATGTATGATTTAAGTTTTCAAATGTTTATTTCATAGCTGATTGTTACTTCTTACGTTTTTATCAATAAAAATAACATTATATAACACTTTAGTATGATTTGCTCAACCTCAAAGAAAAAGTGATCCGATTCGCCTCGGTCTACCCTATTCAAGAAACGTTTCGTTCACCGAAAACATATATTACAAACTATTCGTTCGCCTACTTAAAATATTCTAAAATTTAAGTGGTTTAAATTAAGGGGCTCCGTGGCGTACGAGTAGTAGCTTACAAATGAGTTGTGACGCTGAGGGTTGTGGGTTCTCGAATCTCGCTCCGAACAAACAAATAATTATTGCCTCCATGATACAGGAGAAAATTCCAGTGTTTGGAAAAGTTTTTTTAAATAAACATAAGAACGATTAAAACATTTAATGCCATATATCTTTCCGCTGTGAATGTTCAGATTCAATTTACCAATAAATCGATAAAACACCTTTGTTAAATTATTAACCATGGTACTTAACAATCTACCCGTCTGCAAAACCATACTTCTTTGGCCTGGAATATATTGGTTCGAGAATAAATCAGATCGTTGGGTTACGCGCGGCAGCAGTGCTCAGGCACCGGGGGACTAAGAAACTTTTGGGTGGGAAGAAACATTTTAGACGTACCTTTAGGCTAGCTCCGAGAAGTAACTGTTTATATTACGGTACGTAATATCAATTTAATACATTAAAAATGATTTAAATATCATCCATTTATTTAACATTCAAAATATGTTTCATAAAATGTACGTTACTAATAATTTTATAAAGGAATTTGAATCATTTCTGATTGAGGAATGCTACCGCTCAATTATTGGTTATTTATGTGACGTGTAAGTAAATTTTAGATATTATATATTTTACGTTATATTTGTGAGAGCATTATTAATATCAAAACTAATTGATTTATAATTTAGTTGCATGACTTTACATTAAATAACAATTCGATGTAGTAAGTATTCAAATATAATTATAATATAAACAATGAAATGAAACAATGCATTCGTGCAAATATTGATTTACTCGTGATAACAGTTTCCCTGTCCGCGAAACAAACACAATAGTTAAAACAATTAAAATGTTAGTAATGATTAATGGGACAGGGAAAGGGTAAAAGTAGCCGTATAGGGTACGGTGTACCTGACATGTTTATCTTTATAGTTTAATTGTACAGGTAAACCAGAGCGTGTATGTTGAGTAATTGTGCAAGTTTCCACACCTGTACAGACAACCTGAAAATATATGAATTACGATATTTTTGCCCGTATTCATATGCACGTAAGCCCGTGCAGGTATACCTGTGCAGTTTAAGTTTAACTGTACAAGCAAAACTAAGTGTGTGTGCCTTGGCAGGCGTCACTTGAGGCATGTTGTGACATAGCAGAATAAGATATATATAGGATAGAATACTAATAGCCGAATAGGATATATATATAGGATAGAATAGGAATAGTCGAATAGGATATATATATTTGGTACATTCGTATGTTTTCCCTGTTGCAAAGAATATTAACGGCACTGTTAGTCTTTCGTATGGTGATATAACTTTTCATTTATTATATTATTTTCACCTCACTACCGTAACTATAACTTTGAGATAAGTCTTATCATCCATTCGTAGATGATTCCGGTAGTTTTTTCACTCCAGTTTCTATTCTTTCAATAAGTTGACGTTTAAATTTTATTGAAATAAAACAAACAATAAACGTATTAGCGCTATTGCGTCAAGATCAAGCGCCGCGCCGCTGCCGGGGCCACGGTTTTAACTGAGTTTGTACTTTGTACAGTTTTACCTCTACGTGTATGTCCTCTACTCATCTCAAGGTTACCTGACGGATGTAACTGTAAATGCATATTTGACAGGTACACCCGTACGTGTATGGCCACTTCAATATTAGTTTACCTAAGGTTTGAATGCAGCAAACTTAGGTTTTTCTTAAGATCTATTCTGTGTATATTTATTATAACTGTATTTATAAATATATGTTATTTTTAATTCAAATATTATATTTGAATTAAAAAATAAAACATTTCCATCTTACCAATAATGCTACCAAACACCACCGGAACTCCACAAAGCCTGCATTGCTGAGTTCCGGTCTAGAGGGTACCTTAAGAGAGCCAGTACAATTAAAAGCTGTGAGGCATTTCATTTCATCTCATTAGAGGTGAGTCCATCAGATGGGCTACACATGTTATGTGGTAGAGCCATGCTGCAGTTATATTAGTAGCATAGTTGTAGCACGAATGGGTCCTTTCTATTGGAAACGAGGCATTCCATCTTAGTTCTCACGGGTAACAACGAATCTGCATTTTAATTCGTAATTGAGGATAGATGTAGATGTTTATGGACACAGCAACCACTTACCATCAGGTGGACTGTGTGCTCGTTTGTCACCCTATCCTATAAAAAGGCGTTTTTCACTTCGATTTAATTTAAAAACAAATTCTTATGTCAACAAAAGTTAAGAGCAATAAATAAAAGCGTTGATATTAAATTTGGCCTCTTTCGGTCTGAGCATCACATACTCGGTCGGTCGGAATTAACCGGCCACCTGTAGACGAGCTCAGACAAGCCGGTTAAATTTTCATTCAAAGCGAGCCTTTGCGCTGTATATTTCAGTAGTTTAGCCCTCAAGGGGCCAGTTTCAGCTTCTTTATGTGATTGCATTAAGTCTTGTAGTTGCATTAAATTAATTTTAAAAATTGAAAATGTTTATACATATAAATAAAATGTAAGTATCTGTCTTTAATTTCGAAATAACTGATTTATATTGTTGAGCTGAGGGATTAAATATTTTTTTTAACTTTTTGTCTGTATGCCTGTCTGTCTGTTTTCCGGACTGTTCTTTGAAAATATCGAACCGATGATGAAACTACGTGGACAGATAGAGAGCAATGTAAAGATGTGATCTAGACTATATTTATCCATAAAACTTGAAGTTTTTGTTGAAAAAACAAAATTTCGTTAATGATCTTAATTCTGAATAGTGCTACTCAGGCGAAACCAGGGCGTTCCTTCACGATTTTTTGGATGTTATACCTGGTTGCTTAGATGCGGGTATAAGGAGCTAACTATGTTGTAGCAACTTTTAGCGTGTAGAGCCACTATGCATCATATGTCAAAGTGGAGTCAAAGATGGATCGTCTCAAACGGGGACGGACCAAGCTCTCACAGAATACCAGCCTGAAAATGCACCACAATACTATTTCGTATGGTATGCGACAAGAACTGGAAACCTTTTGCTTGTAAAGTGGCATTCCATCTTGACCCGGGGTGATAACGCATCTAAATTGGATTCTTAGTGGAGGGTAAATATACTCTACATTAGATGGACAATAAGCTGGTGTCACCTATACTTTTATTTTAAAAACTACTCGTATTAACCTCAGCTGTACAGCTGCCCTGTTGATTGACGGACGGTGTGCGAGTGTATCGCCTGAATTCTAAACAACGTGACTTTTCCTTACTTTCCTTTATTTTCTTACAAAATTTTACAAGCCTTAACGATAACTGAATATTAAACTTGGCTAAGCTCGCTTTAAAACTAAAAAAATACCAATTTTTTTATTTATTTCGTCACTAAAAATTAATTACATTAAATTACTAGTAGAACCTACATTTAGGAATAGATTTAAAAATGTAATTGATGTGTGATGTTTATCACTCACGTCATCACGTCACACGCATCTTGATTCCCACACAGTCTTTGGTTTAAAAAAAAGACACACCGAAAGACACAATCTCGACAGTCGTTTACGCTTGTTATCTTAACGTATGCCCAATTAATTATCCCACTAATTCGGATAGAATATTTAACCAGCGGACCGATGCATCCAATTAGCGCTCTGTAACCCAACACTGTCTGATTATGTTTGATTTAAACGAAACTTTTGTAACTTGTATGAGTTATAAGGTTCAAATGATTTTGTTTACTTGAATAAAATTACTTTAATATATCCATATACTTTATAATCAATATTATTAATTTGTAATATTGTTGATTGTAATATAATTAATTGTAAACTATAACAAGCGATAGTATGTACATTTATATAAAGTAAGAACCTGTTATTGACATTATGGATTAACTCAGAAGTTCTGTTAATATTTCTAGCGTGCTGTTGGTTATATGATCAATAAAGAAAAAAAAACTAATTTTCACCTTCCAAATAAGTATTTGAAAGAATGTTAAGAGTTAAGTCATACCTTATTTTTCAGTATTTATTCAAATTCAAATTTCTTTTATTGCGACAAATAGTGTAAGTACTTATTCTGTAGGTGCATTAAAAAAGTTTTATATCGTAAGTGGCGTCATTATACTCTACATTATTATACCATCTTTTTTACATGATAGAGCCATGCTGCAGCTATATTATAGTTGTATCACGAATGGGTCGGTTTGACCAGGCTGGGACCACGCTCTCACAGAATACTAGCAAAATATAGCAGCTCAACAATACAGTGTTTCATGTGGTGAATTTAGAGAACTGAAGACCCTTTCTACAAGAAACGGGGTATTCCATCTTCGTCCTCAGGGGTGGATAACGCATCTGTATTTTGATTCTTAATCGAGGATAGATGTAGATGTCTATGGGCCACAGCATCCATTTACTAAAATCATATATGGTTAATAAAGTAACATAGATCATATGGAAGATATGTAAGGTCCTCTGGCGAACGGGCTGATCGACCCCAATAAATTCTCAAAGAATTTTTTATCAGAAGCTCAGGCTAAATTATAAAAAAAGAGAAGAATATACAAAGGTGTATTCTTCTCGTTACGTTACTGTATTTGTAATGTTAGTTTTTTTAA